ACGGGTATGTGCAGTGAGCTAGAGAGGAACAGCAAGGATGATTCCTAATTTGCTGACTTGAGTGAGTGGAAGAATGGTAACGTCATTGGGAGAAATAAGAACATGTAGGAAGGGTAGTGGGTTTAGGACAGGGTGGTTCTTAACCTGGGGGGCTAAGGATTTCAAAGGGTCTAAGAAAATAGATGGGTAAATTATATCTTCATTTTCACTGATCTATAACTGAAATTTATTATTTCCTTCAATTATGAATTTGGAGAGAAAAAAAAAACTATTATTCTATGAAGGGCCTCCTCATTCTGCCTAATGTGTCCATGACACATTTTAATTTAATAGTAAAGATAAGTGAGTTGACCATTCCTTCCTTCTCAATCCTTTTTGAACTGTTCCTCCCATCTCCTTTAACCAACTCTTGTATGTGCACTTCTTTGGGAACAAACTTCCTAGGCCAGTGAGGATTCCACAAAGATATTTGGACAATTTCTTAACTTGTGGTTTTACATCATGGCCATCACCAAGGCAACTAGGTGTGGTAATATCAAACATTTATATAGCTTGCAAAGTGCTTTACAAAAATGATCTTATTAGAGCCTTACAATGATCTTAGAGGAAGTCAGGTACTGCATTGGATAGAGGGGGCTGAACCTGGGGTCAAAAATATCTGAGTTCAAATTCAGCCTCAGATATGTCCAAGTTGGGTGATCCTGGGTAAGTCATTTGACCTCTGTGAAACAGGGAATAATAATAGAACCTATCTCCCAGCATTGTTGTAAAAGTTCAAATGATATAATATCTGTAAAGCAATCAGCACAATGCCTGGTACTTAGTAAATCCCTCTTTCCATCATCATCATCATCACCATCACGAGAGTGACACTATAGGTATTATCGGCCCCATCCACCATTTTACCAAAAAGGAAACAATCTCAGAGAAGTTAAGTAACTTACTTAAGGTCACACAGCCAGTAAATGAGCCTAGAGACAGGAGTAAAACCCAGGTCATCTGATTCCAGGCCAGGTCCAGTCCTCTTTCCAAAGATACCCACATATTCCTACAAAGACTTCATCCTACCCTCTGTCTAGTAACAGTTCAGGTTGAGGGCCTGGATCTACTTTGGCCTCTACCTCCTTCTTGGCTTCCCTTTACTGTCTAACAGAGAATCTCCCTGGCATAGCCATATTTCAGGAGAAAGAGCCTGGGGACTCTGAGCTGGTAATTAACCAATTGCTTTCATAGCCCTCTACCTCCAGGTGCTTCGAAATGGCCCAGAGGGCTATGTGGAAAGGGAGCCTTAGTGCTCAAGGCTGGTTGCCATCACTAGCTAGCTGTTAAATAACAAATGGGAGACTTTCAGTGGTTCCACAGGGACCCAGGATGCCAGCCAGGCAGTTCCAAACCTGGGGAGGTTTCATTCCTAGGGCAGGGGACTGATCCTGTCCCTTAAAGTCCGAGGCAAGGAGATGGTGCAGGCCTGAGCGTAGTGTTATTGGAAATCCCCCCACTGTTCTGACTTAATATTTTATTCTCATGTTCCTGGTTTATTATTTATACAGTGGAAGGAGGATGGCAGCTTTCTAGCAGGTGGGATATGCGGGAAGTAGACACAACAGGCTAGCCGGCACCCTCCTATCCTTTCCCCAGTGTGGATCTGAGGAGGTTTGGGAGAATGTATTAAGGAGCTGGGGTGTGGGGAGACAGAGAGAGTGGGAGCGGAAAGAGGAAAAGCTGGAACACAGAAGAAAAGAATACAAGGCAAGCCAGAGTGTACAGAAAATGGAGCAGGAAAGTCTACGAGAGCCAGCTGGGTAAAGGACTTAAATCAAGGCTTATTTTGGTGAATGGGGTGATGATGGAAGGACTTTGGGGGATGGAGGTGGATAGGCTCTGAGATGTGACACCTGTAGTCACCCGAGCATCTTGACCGCTAGGTGGCGCCATGATAGAATGTTGGATCTGGAGTCAAGCCGGCCTGAGCTCGAATCCGGGCTCAGACACATGCTAAATCACTTCACTTCTGTCAGCCTCAGTTTTCTTCTTTGAAGACAGAAAACAATAATAATAGCACCTAGTTCTCAGGGTTATTGTGAAGATAAAATGAGATACTATTTGTAAAGCACTTTGTAAACTTAATGGCACTGTATGAACACCAGCTATAGCTAGCTATAGATGGAAAATTCTCTACCAAGAGGGTGAGAAGAATGCTTAAGATGCTGAGCTATGTGCTAGGCAGTTTCCAGGAAGCTCATTCATTCAGTTATTCAGCATCTATTTATTAAGTGCCTACTGTGTGCACAGCAGAGAGGCAACCTGGGATAGTGGGTAGAGAGCCAGTCTTAGCAACAGGAAGACTGGTTCAAATCCCGTCTCTGACGTATATTGGACATTCAGTGTCACCTCCTAGGGGCTTAGAGAACTCTCTAAAGATTATAAATTATGTCTAGAGTTGCTTAGTTTCTGCAATGAAGTCCCCCACATTGGGGAAATTACGACACCCACTTCCACCCCCCCAAAAAACAAAAAAAGGAAAAAAAGAAAACTTAAAGAGAAAAGCTCCCTGGTGAGTGGATAGAATGACTACGAAGACAGTGTCTCAGCTTTTAGGCAGCTTAAATTTGAATGGTGGAAGGGATGCCACATAGCCATGTTACAGTGTAACATGTAAGAGTTGAAAGGCTGCTTAGAGACCACCTACTATAACCTCCTCCCAACTTAATAGATGAAGAACTAAGGCCCAGAGATTAAGTCATTTGTCTTTCAACTATGTGATACTCCCTTGGGAAAGATCCAGAGCTGTGATTTCATGAGTGTGGGGAACTCCAGGTATGTAAACCCCTTCCCCTGACGCAGGTCAGCGAGTCTTCTGAAAGTTGGAGAGCTGTCTCTAGTGCTAGGACTATAGTTACACTGCCAGTATGTGTCAGAGGCAGGTGTTGAACCCATGCCTTTCGTGACTCCAAGTCTGACCTATTGACCACACTGCTGAGTCTCTGCCTTACGCACCCTAGGTAGTTACTACAAGGACCAGGTTTGTCAATTGATTCACTTTGTCTTTGGAGGTATTCTTCCAAGTCAAGTCCTAATCTTTGAGGGCAAAAACAAATGCCCTTCCTTGCCAATTTGCCCTTCCTGCCATTCTTCCCTTCCCCATCCTCACAATAATAGCCAGGATTTATATAGTGCTTTAAGGTTTGCTAAGCGCTTTACATATGCTATCTTATTTGATTTACAGATGAAGAAACTGAGGCTGAGGAACTGTGACTTGCCCAGAGTAACACAGTTAGGAAGTGTCTACAGTGAGATTTGGGCTTAGGTCTTCCTGACTCCAAGTTCAGTGTTGTATCCATCGGGCCACCTAGCTGCTTCATGCTCCTGGATTCTGGCTCTTTCCTTCCTTTCTCCATCATCATCTTTTAAGGGCTAAAGTTCAACTGGCCTTCCTCTGGCTTCTTCCTGAGGGGGAGGTGTTCTGGCTTCTCCACATCAAGCCCCATCCATCTCTGGCTCTGACAGATCCCCATGGGGCAGTCCATCCAGTTACATCAATACACTCAGCCCAGTCCTCTCCCCTCCCCTAGCTTGGTGTAGTAGCACTGTCTGTCTCACACACACACACACACACACACACACACACACACACACACGCACACGCACACGCACGCCAGTGCACCTACCACCTCCCTTCCATGGATGAACAGAATTTCTCACACACTCCGATGCACTCACATTTGGAAATGCTCACAGAAACACACACCTGTCCTTACATATCGATGACCTCAAACACGGACTCATACCAACAGATGTCTCAGCATGCATCCTAGCAACTTTACACATTCCTCCAATCTTCTGAACATACGGGACCACACACAAGCCTAAGTGCCTTCTCCTCATCTCTTCTGACTTCTTCTCTTTTTGACGAAGGGTCTAATGTGAGAGTACAACTACCCAGCCTGAAAGGGACCTCTCCTGAGATCAGCTTGTGATTTTTACCCCACAGCGGCCTCCTGGAGCAGGTGGAGGGCAGACAGTCTGCCCAGAGCCCTTTAGTATGGGGTGGGGTCGCCTCCCTGGGACCTCGAATCTCCCAAAGGGGGATCGATTAGAGCTCTCCGCCCAGGATCTATCTTTCGACACAGGGCCAGCGGCTAAGTACACATTAGATGGATGCTTTTTTGATAAGGACGATAATTTCCTGTTTCCTAAGGAGTGAAGAGAGGAACAGAGTAACTGTAGGAATTGCCTCTCAACCCAGCCTCCCTCCTCTCCCTCTTAGTAACTTTGGCTCTGCCTAACGGCTATTACGCCTGTGTGCCCTAGGGCATGTCTTCCTCAAAGCCCTCCTCTCCTTAGCTCCCAGACAAGGGCAAAGAATGCCCTGACTTTTTTAACAGCCCCCTGCCCTCATTCCTCCTCATTCCCACCCCTAGCCCCAGTTCCATTCCTTCCATCAGCTTTCCTTTCATTTTTGCTTCTTACCACAGAAGGCAATTACCAGTTCCAAGCCCAATTTTGAATCTTTCCTCTCCATTTTCAGCCCTGTATCCTTCCCACCCCTACCTCACTCTCTTAATCTCTTCCCCCTCTGGCCTGCCTGACCTTCTTACTTGACTTTTGGGACATGCCTGGGTGCTCCTCCCCACTTCCTATTCACCAAGGACTTTTTTTTCTGTGGGGGGTGGTTTGGGGGTTTGTGCCCATTTCCTGGCACGGGAGATGAGGAAGGGCTAAGACAAGACCCGTACATGACCTCTAGCCCCACAGAAGGGGCACAATTCGAACCTCACTCCCTGAAATGTGCAGAATCAAGGCTCCAAATTGGGTATGGGACTCATTCTTTCAGAACCTGTCTCCTGGGATGAAGAGCCTCCCTCCTAAAAGAGGAGAAGCCTTGAAGGAGGAATCAAAACAATGGGGTGAGGTGAAGAGAGCGGGAAAAGAGCACCCCTCCCTAATTGAGTAGGGACAGAACTGCCCTCACCCCACTAGGCTGGTTAGCATATACTCACCCCACAAAGTAAGAGATGATGAGAAGCTGCACAGCTCGATTGATGACCCCAATGGTCCAGCTCTTTACCACCACTGACTTGGTGGTCTCATAGGTGAAGAAGTCTGAGACGCAGTTCATGCTGAGAAAGCTCAGAAGCAGCTGCCCCGAATCAGAGACTGATAGCAGCCCCCTGGTCTCAGGGCGGAGAGGACGAAGGAGAGAGTAAAAGGGGGTTTAATGAGGAGGTAACTGGGGGGGGGGGGGCAGGAAGCCTTTAAACCAGGAAACACTAGCACTTACCCCTGTCTCAGCTCCCTGGCCACTCAGGCTGTTTAGAGCCCAGGGCGGGGACCCCTCTTTTTGTTCGATCTCCACCCCCCTCAAGTGATGTCACGGGGGGGGTGGGTGGGTTCTAAAGTATCTCCAATCCTGGATTCTGAATTGATGATCTTGGCCCCCTGGGACTTCTGATTTATCTACACTGTTTACTGCCTCTGCTGTAAGCTTGGCCGCTCTGATCTTGCCTTTCCATCCTCCCCCCAAAAGCCTCCCTGCATCCCAGCTCTGGGTTCTTATCACTATTATGAGGACAGAGGCTATGCCTAATTTATCTTTACATCTCCCCCAAGTATTTAGCACAGTGGGTTGCACATAATATGTGTTTAATTAATATCTGTTGAATGAATTAATGAATGTTTCATGCTCCTTATCTTGTCCTATATACCTCATCTCCCCGAAACTCTAAATACAATTAATAATCTCCATTCTCTATCCTGCAGGCTTCCTTATCTTAGTGTTAAAGCACATCAGAAGGAACCCAGAGAGCACTGCCATGGATTGTGAAGTCCTGGACAAGAACAGCCCCCCAAAAATACAGGGGCACAGGTGCTATTGTGAATAGAAGTTAGGTCTGGATTTGGGAAATGGCTGACTGAATAAGAAGATTTTCTCTGAACTCTGGCTTAGAATATAGGAAGGATGGGCTCTTCCTTCTATATTCTATTCCTAGAATATAGGAAGGATGGGCTCTTGGCCAGGGATGGAGTGTGCCTAATGAGGTACTGTAAAAATGTATGTATCTGCAATTTTCTAGAACCTATCAAGCAAGCTTCAAGCTGAAAACTAAAGGGAAGGGAGAAAACTGTTCACATCGATCTGGCTGACCAGATATCACAGAGAGTGGAAGGTATGGCATAGGAAGAATATTAATGGAGACTAAGTATTCTAAATATGCCCAAGGAGAATACAGTGCAGCAAAAACAAAATATGGCACCTATACACAAGTGTGCAAAGCATAGGTAATAAATAGGGTAAAGTGGGGAACCAAATGCAAGGAGGCATGTTTGGCTTCCAATGGAACAAAAACATAATTGTAACCTGGAAGAAAAGGAGGCGCTATCTAAAGAGGCCAGATGTGGATATACTGGGAATTCTCTGATCAACTTAGATTTTTAAAAAGACATGATCAGGAGATAGGAGTAAGGACAGGTAACTAGGGATGAATAAGAATGACTGGACTGGATCTGTAGGAAGCATGTCCAGAGCTCTAAAGGTCAGAATGACCCAAGGATGATGATAAATACAAAGGTCAAGAAAAAGGGCTTTTTAAGTTATTTTGAGTATATCAGGAATATCAAAGAAGGGATAAGCATAGGGCTCAGGTGACAACGGATAAGAGAGAAGGGAGAATGACTGAGATTGAATTTTGCTTCTTTTCTCTGCCAAGGAATGAGATGCTTAGAGTGGAAAGGAACAGATTCTTAGTTAGCAGGGACATGCATCTTATGGTAGGTGAGGGCATGGCAAGGGAGACACATTCAGTGAAGTACCAGTCCGGATAAACTGCAGTTGAGGGCACTGAACATTCAGAAAGACATGATGGTGAAGTTCTTGTCAACAGGGAGGGCTAAGGAGGAGCTGCAGCGTGAGAGCAGCTGTCATTCTAATGACAGACCCAAAGAATATTTACGAATGGGTCAACATCCACTTTCAGAGAGCTCTCTAGCAGAGTTCCTCAGGGATCTGTGCTTGACCCTGAGCTGGACTACATATGTGTTTCAATGGTTTTTATACAACTGGAATGTGGAAGGGAGAACTCACATGTTGGCTGCCACAGTCCAGTTCTAAAAAAGATGCCAACACCCTATTGATCAGAATCTAATAAGATGAAATTGAATTAGGATAAATGTAAAGTCCTAGATCTGGGTTGGAAATCAATTTTCTAAGTCCAGTACAAGAGGGGCACAACATCCTAAAAATGTCTCAGGAGCTTTAGGGACCACAAACTGGGTGGGATACAGCTACGTGACCTAGTAGCCAAAGAAGCTAAAGTGATCTCAGAATGCATTCTGAGTTCCAGAATAACAGTTAATAACCCTGCCTCGTTTTGCCCAGATCAAACTAAGTCTGGGATAGCACATTTTAGGGGGAGTATCGACAAGCCGGAGGATATCCTGAGGAGGGTGACTAGGACATCAAGGGGCCTGGAGACTGATTGAGTGAGGAAATTTAGAAAGGTTAGCCGGGCAAAGAGAAGACTGGGGGCGGGGTGGCAAAAGCTTTTGTCAAAGGTCTAAAGAGATATATCTCTTTATACCTGATATACATAGATATAGATTATATATGAAATATGTATATATATGTTATATATATATACACACACACATACACACACACATACACACACACACACAAATATATATATATATATATATCGAGTAAGAGGATGAAACCAGTGTCACATAGGCCCAAAGAACGGTGCAAGAACCAATGGGTGGGATTTGCAGGGAGGCAGATTTAGGCTTGACGTAAGGAAAAACTTGGCAGCCTCAGGAGGCAGTGACACTGCCCTAGCCATTACACTCATTTTATAGATGATGTAACTGAAGCCCAGGAAGATGAAATGATTTGCCCAGCATCACACAGGTAGTAACAGGCAGGGTTGGGATTCACACTCAGGTCCTGTGACCCTTCATTCACTGCCCCTTCTACCACATCAGGCTGCTTCCTGTGTAGCCAAGGAGATTCCTGTTCAGGTAGCAGTAGGAGTAGATGACATCTGAGATCCCTTTCAACTCTGAGGTTCTATGATTCTGTGGAGACCTGCCTCTTGCCCCACTTCTGCCCACTTAGTACTTGATGGACCTTGAAAAGTCCCTTAAATTTTCTGAGTCTCAGTTACCAAATAGCCTATAAAGTTCATTGTAGCTGTAAATCCAATGATCCCGTGATTAGTCTTCCCCTGAGTTCAACAAATCGTGGTATAATCATGTAACACAATACTATAATCCAATTACGGATATGTGTGAGAAATACAGAGAAACTGTTATGAAATAATACACAGTGAAAAACAAAGATCCAGAGCAATGGAATCCACACAAACCATAGTGATACGAGGAAGAGGACATGAGAAAGAATGGACAGATCATGATGGTGATTTAGGAGGGACGGACTGAAATAAAAATATCATAATGCATTGAAACACGTTATTTAAATGTAAAAAAGTAAATTTAGATTTACATATTAATGGTTAGTGTTGTTTCTGATAAGACATTTAATAGTTTTTTTAAATGTTTTACCAATGCATTTTGTCTTTATAACTAACATTTTAGCCTACCAGATCAGAGCGAACCCTCCCTTTTCGACAAAGAAAAACAATTAAGTAAAAAAAAAAATCTGATCCAATGACCACATCTGACAATATAACATTATACCCTATTTACTTCTCTGCCAGGAGTGGGGAGGCAGAAAATATTTAATTTAATTTTCTAAGAGAGAGACAGACAGCAGCTGAAGAAAAATGTAGGATGACTTTCTTGAGGGAATGAAAGTTGGGTCTGATATTTGATTTGTGAATCCTAAACACCGTCTTGCTATTCACGACGCAGTGAAAAGCTGGCTGGATTTGAAGACAGGAGGCCAGGAACAGAATGTCATTTCTGACCCTTAGCTTAGTGACCACGGCAAGTCAATAAGGAAAATGAAAAAGGAGTATTTAATGTATTTTTTTTAATTCACAGGAGAAAACAAAGTGAAGAAGAACATAACAGAGCCATTTTGTTACTACCCTGTTGAGTTATAAATCAAGAAAATAATAGCTAGCATTTACATAGCACTTTAATGTTTGCAAGTGCTTTGCAAATATTTCATTGAGCCTTACAATGACACTGGGAGGTAGGTGATATCATTATTCTCCTTTTACAAATGAAGAAACTGAGGCAGGTACTGGGTAAGTGACTTGGCCAGGATCACACAGATAGCAAATGTCTGAGGCTAGTTTGAATACAGGTCAGCTCTCTTTCTACTGCACCCCCTAGCTCCTACAGAAAACAAACATTTTGTTAAGAAAGAAACAAGATATAGAAGTTCAATAGCTTGCTTGTTCTCTTTTTTCTTTTTTGAACTCATTTTTTAAATCATTTTTTAACTCATCTAACTCATTTTGTGTTGAAAAATAGAGGAAAGGACCCATTTGTACAAAAATACTTATAGCAACTCTTTTTGTGGTGGCTAAGAATTGAAAATTGAAGGGATGCCCATCAATTAGGGGATGGCTAAACAAGGCGTGGTATACGATTGTGATGGAATATTATTGACAAGAAATGACAAGTAGATCCACAACCAGAGAAAGAACTACGGAGTCTGAATGCAGATCGAAGCACACTACTTGCTCTTTTTCTTCTTCTATTTCATTTTGTTTCTTCTTTCTCATGGTTCCTCCTATTGGTTCTAATTCTTTTTTACAACATGAAAATGTGAAAATATGCTTAATATGAATATATGTATAGAGCCTCTAGCAGATTGCATGCGGTCTTGGGGAAGAGGGACGAGACGGAGGGGGAGAAAATTTAAAACTCAAAAGCTTACAGAAGTGAATGTTGAAAACTAAAAATAAATAAATTAATAATAATAAAAAAAGAAATGACAATTAGGATGATTTCAGAAAAACCTGGAAAGACTTACATGAGCTGCTGCAAAGTGAACAGAACCAAGAGAATGTTGTACGCAGCACCAAGCGACACTGTACGATGATAGACTGTGAATAACTTAGCTATTCTCAGCAATAACGATCATCCAGCACTTCCAAAGGACTAGCGATGCAGCATACTACCCACCTTCAGAGAAAGAACTGACATTGGCTGAATACAGACTGAAGCATGCTGTTTTTCCACTTTCTTTCTTT